CTTGGGGCGACCTTGGGCGTGTGGCCGACATGCACTCGTCCCTCTCCAGTGTTTCCATAGGTTTTAACCTGGGAAAAACAATGAACCCACTTCGAGGTATCCCCTAGGGCACGGTCGGCTGGTGCTCGGGGTTCTCTGTGGGGCCGAGCTGTTGAATCGGTCAGCACAGGGTGCTGGGGGGCCGCGATGTTGAGTTGCGCTGGGTTGCGCACCAGCTTGCACGTTGGCCGGTGCGGCCGGATTGAATGTTGAATCTAACAATTCCAGAAAGCAACCTCAAACTAGTTCAAAACACAATCGAAAAAACCAAGAACCACAACACAAAGCCAGCCAGCCAGGCAGCCAGCCAGCCAGCCAGCCAGCCAAGCCAAGCCAAGCCAAGCCAAGCCAAGCCAAGCCAAGCCAAGCCAAGCCAAGCCAAGCCAAGCCAAGCCAAGCCAAGCCAAGCAAGCAAGCAAGCAAGCAAAGAATACACACACACACAAAACACACAAACAAAGAAAGAAACCATGACAGAAAGAAAGGCAGAAAGAAACACACAAGCAAGCCAACAAACACACACACACACATAAACACACAAGCAAGCAAGCAAGCAAGCAAGCAAGAAAGCAAGCAAGCAAGCAAGCAAGCAAGCAAGCAAGCAAGCAAGCAAGCAAGCAAGCAAGCAAGCAAGCAAGCTTGCTTGCACAAGCAAGCAAGCAAACAAGCAAGCAAGCAAGCTTGCTTGCACAAGCAAGCAAGCAAACACAAGCAAGCAAGCAAACACAAGCAGGCAAGCAAAAACAAGCAAGCAAGCAAGCAAGCAAGCAAGCAAGCAAGCAAGCAAGCAAGCAAGCAAACAAACAACCAAACAACACCACGCAACACACAACACAGCACACACACACACGGACACAGACCACAGTTTTATATATATATATATATATGAGGAGCGGACAAAACACTTTACTTGGCCCTAGTACTTTTTGAACGTTCTCGTTTTTGGGGGAGACCTTATCGTTTTACAGTGTTTTCGAACTTTGGCAGATCCGGCTCGAAAATCGCAACTTTGTAGCGCAAGTCTAGTACGCGAAGTACACTTCCGCATCTCCAGCTCGAAAATCGCAACTTTGTAGTACAAGTCTAGTAAGCGAAGTACACTTCCGCATCTCCAGCTCGAAAATCGCAACTTTGTAGTACAAGTCTAGTACGCGAAGTACACTTCCGCATCTCCAGCTCGAAAATCGCAACTTTGTAGTACAAGTCTAGTACGAGAAGTGCACTTCCGCAGCTCCAGCTCGAAAATCGCAACTTTGTAGTACAAGTCTAGTACGCGAAGTACACTTCCGCAGCTCCAGCTCGAAAATCGCAACTTTGTAGTACAAGTCTAGTACGCGAAGTACACTTCCGCAGCTCCAGCTCGAAAATCGCAACTTTGTAGTACAAGTCTAGTACGCGAAGTACACTTCCGCAGCTCCAGCTCGAAAATCGCAACTTTGTAGTACAAGTCTAGTACGCGAAGTACACTTCCGCAGCTCCAGCTCGAAAATCGCAACTTTGCAACTTTGTAGTACAAGTCTAGTACGCGAAGTACACTTCCGCAGCTCCAGCTCGAAAATCGCAACTTTGTAGTACAAGTCTAGTACGCGAAGTACACTTCCGCAGCTCCAGCTCGAAAATCGCAACTTTGTAGTACAAGTCTAGTAAGCGAAGTACACTTCCACATCTCCAGCTCGAAAATCGCACTTTGTAGTACAAGTCTAGTACGGGAAGTACACTTCCGCAGCTCCCGCTCGAAAATCGCAACTTTGTAGCACAAGTCTAGTACGCGAAGTACACTTCCGCAGCTCCAGCTCGAAAATCGCAACTTTGTAGTACAAGTCCAGCTCGAAAATCGCAACTTTGTAGTACAAACACTTCCGCATCTCCAGCTCGAAAATCGCAATTTTGTAGTACAAGTCTAGTACGCAAAGTACACTTCCGCAGCTCCAGCTCGAAAATCGCACCTTTGTAGTACAAGTCTAGTACACGAAGTACACTTCCGCAGCTCCAGCTCGAAAATCGAAGCTTAGTCGTGCCAGTCTAGTACGCGAAGTACACTTCCGCAGCTCCAGCTCGAAAATCGCAACTTCTCAGCACAAGTGTCGTATTTTCGAAGCACACCTTGGCAGCTCCAGCTCGAAAGTGGCAACTCGCCTTCTCGTTTTACGGTGGCGGTCCCACCCTAGCTAAGTTGCAACTGCAGGGGTTATTATAGAGCCGTGTGTTAGCTAAGGGTTATCGTTTTTGGGGGAGACCTTATCGTTTTGCATGGTTTTGGCATGTGTTATGCAAAAACGTACCCCGCCTTGATAAAGTGGTCTTCGTGTGTTTTGTCCGTGGCTCATATATATATATATGCAACCACAACCAATCAAGCAAACAACCAACCCAACAAACAAAGAAACACAAACAACACCAAGTAGACACAATCGTACGGCATTTGCTTTCTGGTTCTCACGCATGTTCAACTGCAAAATGGGCTTCCTGCGCACGGCCATTATTGTACCAACATTCATTGAAAGCATTGGCAGGCGTGGGGAATCATGCACTTCGGTGTTTCGCTTTGGTTTTGCGGTCACCTTTGAAATCTTTCTTGAATGCTGCGCAGTGGTTCTGCATTCCTATCGATTTTGGCCGCAACAATCTTCCGTGATCCAAACACATGCTTCTGCAGACCCGAAATGCTTTTTGTTTTGGGGTTGGTGCCAGAGGTCTATGGATATTGTCAAAGCATTTCTGCCGGATACTCCCAGCATGTCTTTGTACGCTCTCGCACCGCCTTTCCTAAATATCATTCAGATACTGCGCTGGACAAGAGCACGTTGCTGACCATGCGCTGGATGGGATCACTCGGGCGGGGGTTGCTGACCATGTCAAATGACAGATTGAAAAGTGCGCAAAATGGGGTTTTGCACTGACGGGCAAGCGCTTCCACCGCCCCATCATCTCTCGCATGAACAAGGCAACAGAAGGTCGTAAATGACATGGTGAGCAAAAACAACAAACCACTCCGGCGAACGCAGCCTTGTTGGGTGTTTTTTTTTTTTTTTTTTTTTTTTTGTTTTTTTTTTTTACGGGCACCAACCCTGCAAGAAATGGATAGGTGATCTCAAATTCCATGGAAACATGGAGACACAAAATAAGTAATGCCCCTCCCAAATGGCAACGGCCTCCTTTGGTGTCTTGTCAGAATCAGTTAGAAAGGCATCCAAAAAGATGCACAATAAGCACATTGCTTTGGTGAACATCACAGGGCATTGCTTTTCACCAAGCACATTTTGAGTGTATAAAGGTTACAATCCCATCCTTTCGCACGCCAGTCGCCAGCCTTTCGCGATGCAGGAATTTTCATTTCGCCGTGACCCTTCAGGATCATGCCTTGCACAATTCTAGACATCCAATCTAGAACAGTCCCCATTTCAGGGCCTTCAAAACTCGGTTACCCTCTTTCCAACAATGAAGTGGAGCAGATTCGCAAAACTTGAACACGCACTCCTTTTCCCTTAGACCAAGGACATGTACACCAATCGTTGGGTGAAATCGACCTGGCCGCTTTGGGACACCTGGCCTTGGCCGTCGGAAACACGTCCGGGCCACCCCGCGCTGCGCTTCCCTGGCCTGTCTGCACAGCTCCTGCGCCACCGACCGGCTGAGGCCTCAGATCAAACGTTGCCCTGGCCGATTGTATATTGTGACATCGGAATGCATTACGCATATGTGTAATATATATGATATCCTTGTCTTGCAAATAGACAGATAGATAGGATAGGATAGGCTAGGTTAGAAGATAGATTAATTGATAGATTGATAACTTCATAGACAGAAAGAAAGAAGAAAGCTAAAAAGAAGAGAAGGAAAGAAAGAAAGAAAGAAAGAAAGAAAAGAAATAACAAAAGAAAGAAAGAAGAAATGAAGGAAGGAAGCAAGGAAGGAAGGAAGAAAGAAAGAAAAACAAACAAACAAGCAGGCAGGCAGGCAGGCAGGCCAACTGACAAACAGACAGGCAAACACACAAGATCACACAAGCAGAAAAACAGGCAAACAAACAAACAAACAAACAAACACACAAACAAACAGACAGACAGACAGACAGGCAAACAAACAAACAAACAAGCAAACAAGCAAACAAACAAACAATCACACAATCACACAAAAGCAACACACAAACACACGCATACACACGCTCACACGTACATTCATGCATACGTTTGTACGTACATACATACATGCATGCATACATGCATGCATGCATGCATACAATATAATGCAACACAATGCAATACGATACATAACACATATACATTACATACATTACGTTACATGGCATTACCTTGCATGACATTACATGACATTACATGCATACATACATACGTTACATACCATATATAACATACATTACATTCATACATTACTTTACATACATGCATTACATAAATACATTACACTACATTACATTACATTGCATTGCATTGCATTACATCACATCACATCACATTACATACATACATGCATACATACATGCATACATACATACATTCATACATACATAACATTAATCACATTAATCACATACATACATACATACATACATACATACATTACATTACATTACATTACAGTGCATTGCATTACATTACATTACATACATACATACATACATACATACATACGTTACATACCATACATAACATTACATACATACATTACATACATACATTACATTACATTACACTACATTACATTACATTACACTACATTACATTACATTACATACATTACATACATACATTGGTTAAGAGCTATTTCTTTATCTGTTTTACATTTTTTGTGTTTTACCAATGATTTGGTATTTCTCATGTCCTTTTCCAGCTGTAAGTATAGTATCTTGTTTGCCTTTTTTGCATATAGCATATTCACTGGCCTGTTCTCAACATGGTATTCCTATAGCCTTTTTAAATTACTGTTTCATTTGCTTTCTTATATCATAAGCATTTTCAGATCTTGGATTATCATCTGTTATGATTCCCGTATATGTGACATACATACATACATACATACATACATACATACATACGATACATACATACGATACATTATATTGCATTACAACACATTGCATTGCAATAGATTACATTGCATTGCATGACATTGCATTACACTAAAACATACACATACATTACATTACGTTACGTTACGTTACATTGCATTACGTTACATTACATTGCATGACATTTCATGACATCACATCACATCACATCACATACATACATACACACATACGCACATACATACATACATTCATGCATACATACATACATACACACACAAACACATTACGCACGTACGTACATTACATACATACATACGTACTTACGTACGTACGTACATACATACATACATACATACACACATACATACATACATACATACATACATTACATACATACATACATACATACAGACATTACATTACATTACATACATACATACACACATACATTACATACATACATTACATTACATACATACATACATACATACATACATACATACATACATACATACATACATACATACATACATACATACATACATACATACGATACATACATACATACGATACATGCATACATACATTACATACATACATACATACATACATACATACATACATACATACATACATACATACATACATACATACATTCCATACATACATACATTACATACATACATACATAGCATGCATGCATACATACATACATACATACGTACATACATTACATACATGCATTACAATACATTACATACATTGCACACATACATATCACATACATACATACATACATACATGACATACATACATACATACATACAGACAGACATACATACATACGTACATACATACTTACATACATTACATACAGTACATACATATATACATACATACATACATGCATACATGCACACATACATACATACATACAGACATTACATTACATTACATTACATTACATTACATTACATACATACATACACACATACATTACATACATTGCACGCATACATACATACATACATACATACATACATACATACATACATACATACATACATACATACATACATACATACATACATACATACATACATACATACATACATACATACATACATACATACATACATACATACATACATACATACATACATACATACATACATACATACATACATACATACATACATACATACATACATACATACATACATACATACATACATACATACATACATACATACATACATACATACATACATACATACATACACATACATACATACATACATACATACATACATACATTACATACATACATACATACATACATACATACATACATACATACATACATACATACATACATACATACATACATACATACATACATACATACATACATACATACATACATACATACATACATACATACATACATACATACATACATACATACATACATACATACATACATACATACATACATACATACATACATACATACATACATACATACATACATACATACATACATACATACATTACATTACATTACATTACATTACATACATACATACATACATACATTACATACATACATACATACATACATACATAACATACATACATACATACATACATACATACATACACACATACATACATACATACATACATACATACATACATACATTACATTACATACATACATACATACATACATACATACATACATACATACATACATTAAATACATACACACATACATAGATACATTACATTACATTACATTACATTATATTACATTACATTACATTACATTACATTACATTACATTACATTACATACATACATTAATTACATACATACATACAGTTCATACATACATACATTACATTACATTACATTACATTACATCACATTACATTACATTACATTACATTACATTACATTACATACATTACATACATTACATACATTACATACATTACATACATGCAGACATACATACCTACCTACCTACCTACCTACATAGATACATGCATGCATTCATACATACGTACACACATACGCACATACATACATGCCTTACATGCATACAATACATTCATACATTGCATTACATTACACTCCACTCCATTCCATACATTACGTACATACATGCAAACAAGTAAACACACGGACAGGCAAACAAACACAAACGCAAACCCATAAACAAACAAGCACGTTAACCAACAAGTAAGTACATCACTAGGCCAATACGTCTTCGTTCTTGTCTTTCGTTAACACACAAGCACACATTCCTTTGTAAATAAGTGTAGATGCGCCTCCGTCAAAATGATTCTGTTCCAAACTAGAGTATCTCTGCAGCCTTCGTTCTTGAAAGCTCCTTCGTTTTACAAGGCTTTTGGTTATGCGCACCTCGTCGCCCACATGTGACATTGTCTGGTTGAAATCTACTACATGCGCAAAAGCGGCCGTGCAACTGGGCCCCGCTTCGAAACTGAGTGTTTCTCGGGGGTCATTTCCACATGTGTGAAACACTTTGAAGCTGCTGTCAATGCAACATCTGCGCAAATGTTGCTAGCACAGGTGCGTCTCTATCCTGATTGCTGTCTGAGCCAACATTCGCAAAACCAAAGTTTTATGCCGAAAGGCTTCGTTTTAGGGTTCGTCTCAGGACTTGCTGGCGCCCTGCAAAAGCCACCAAATGGACACCAGGAGCCTCGGTGTTAAAGGCCGCCTTCGTTTTTGAGGTTTCGCTCCAAAACATGTCCCTTTATAGCACGAACTTAGTTGCAGCTGAGTACCCAAGTCCTTCAACTCTTCTCGCTGCCAAAACAAACACTTAAGCAGGACGAGAAGCGCAGCTGAATAAAATTAGATGAACACCCTGCAAGAAGCCAAGGAAGTATTCACACTTGGCATGTGCAAATGCACAGCGCATGAGGGAACCGGTAAGCATCTCAAGGACTGTCGCCATCGGCGTATCACTAATGCCTTCAAACTGTAAACACAATGCATAGCCGGTATTGGTGCTACATTGCCAAACTGGGGAGGGGGGTGCAACTGTACAACCCCAGAGGTGCACCCTCAGTACATGATGTTTGATAGCAATGTCAAGCAGGAAAACACATGTCCGTGCCTTTCACAGTGTGGGCCCATCTTGCTGTCTGGTTCTTGGGCGGAGGGTTAGGGTTTGGGCATATTATGCAGGGTAAATCCATCGGGTCAAACATGGCCGACTGAGCTTCACACCAGTCGCAGAATAAGAAAGAGCCGAAACAGGCTTTTCGACAGCCCAACATCTGGATTCTCTTCTTTCTGAGGCGCCAGGCACAAGCGGGGCGCAAAAGCCAGGCACGGCACCCGTGCAGGCTCTGCATTTGGATCCGGTGTGCGGTCCCACCTCGTTGTGCGAGCGAAACTTAACTTTCTGAGTTCTTGCCCTGAAAGATCAAACCGTTTGCAGCGGCAATCGAGCTTCCAGAAGGATGAATGGGAACATCAAGGATCAAAATCTACTGGCACATACCTTTCTGCCAGACAATTTGCACTGGGACAAGACTGGAGTTTCGGATTCTTTTCATGATACATGAGCTTCCACTTTGAAAAGGCCTGTCCAGCTCATGCTGGGCTGCCGGCAAAACACGCCTACTCGGCGGGAATCTCGGCGCTGGCAAGGCCTGCCGGGTGGACACTGGCCTCTCCCATCAAAGCATTTGTGAAAGCCCCATTCAAATTGCCAAACCGACTCCAGCATGGCAAAAGGATCTCTCCAATTGGCTTTGTCGGTCTTCCCCCAAGCAAAATGTGATCTTTTGCAGGTCTAAAATAGATTTGTTTGCAACATCGAGCTCTTTCTGGATCCACCAAAGACCAGCCATGGCCTTCCTAACGCCGCGGGCCACTGAACCACTAAACCGAGGGCTGGGCATTTACGTCGGCGGAGCCTCGGGCGAGCCATTGAGGGAACGGTTTCCAAGGCTTTGGAAGTGCTTTCGCCGGGTGTTTGATCACTTAGCGAATCTTAGCGACTTTCTTTTTCAAGAACTCTGAAGAAACTCTCATGAAGGGTGCAAACTGTCTAAGGCTAGGATGAATGATTCTGATGCAGTCCTTCGGAGTAAGTCCTCGGCTCATTCATGCAGCACTCCGCGCATGGCGGGAGAGAGAGAGAGAGCCTCCTCCAACACCTCTTGATGCGAAAGCAAAGCTGGCCTTTTCTTTTCCGTGGTTGAGGTTGAGTATAACACAGGAGCTGATTGATGAAAACCCGTCTTGTGCTGTTGCAAGCAGCGCGAACATATCACCCATGATTCTATGCTTGTCTCAGCGCAGCGAGCTTGAGCCGGCACACGGCTCAAGAGTGTCCTCTGTTGCACACGTGTTTCCACATAACCTTTCCCCCCCTTAAAATCTAAAGACAGGTGGCTCAAAAGCATTTTGCAATGCGCTTGGCGACTTCATCGCGAGACCCCCTTGCAACACTTTCGGGAAACGTCGAGCCAGAGCTGCGAATCTGTACTTATTTTCGCACTGAACATTTGTGGTGTTAAACTGGAGCTTTGAAAGCGAATTCTTGCTTGATTTTGCTCGAGCCTGACCTATGCCAGTGACCTTCGCGTTCTACTTTCGCACAGAAAGCTGCTCCCCAAATGGTCGCGCTGGCAACTCAAAAAGTTGCATTTCCGCTCAGTTTTTCAACACGATCGCCGATCCGTGCGAGGGGACCAACAATCAAGTAGTACGATTAGATGGCGCCTGAGAAACGCAGAGTGGATGAAACCTGCCAGGGACAACTGACGATGACCTAGCGCCCTGTGCCCAGTGTGCGAACTGTTTCACCCTGCCACGAGTCAGGAACTATCCATCTGCGTCTGGCAACTGCAGCCGAAGAATCATCTTTGTTTCACACGTTTCGTTTCCTCAATAGCTTGGGCTTCATCTCTTCTAGGGAGTTCTTTTTGCTGGGAAACAACTTTGTGTTCTCTTCTGGGCCAAGCAAAGCCAAAAGTTAGCTGAGCTTGAGTGCATGGATGTGTTTTTCAGGTTTTGGGAGTGTGCCCAAAGCCAGGACGTACATTGAAATATGATATTCTGGAACCAGCTAACTGGGGGCATACCTAAGCCATCTTCAGCCCAATGTTTGTTGGTGCTCACAATAGGCAAAGGATTGCCACTCTTGTCGCGAATGCGGGCAGAAGTGGATTGAGAGGCAGGCCAGCGGTGCGACGCGCCAGCGGCGACGCCCCAAGTCGCGCGGGGAGCGCAGAAAGTATTAGCACATCGACCACGTCAATCCCGTCAACTTCCCGATCGACAAGTTGGTGCAGGCCTGCCGCCTGCAAAGGGTCATTTATACTTGTCAAGTTGTTCTTTCTTTCTTTCTTTCTTTCCTTCCTTCCTTCCTTTCTTCCTTTCTTTCTTCCTTCCTTTCTTTCTTTCTTCATTCCCTTCTGTCTTTCTTCCATTATTTCTTGCTTTCTTTCTTCTTCTTTCTTTGTGTGTTTCACGCGCTACTTGTCTAGCCAAACACCACAGAAGACTCTCATGTGGCAACTTGATTTGCAGAACTCTCGCGCATCTTCCTCGTGTAACCGAGCAACCCTATCTATCTATCTATCGAATCTTGCTCTATCTATCTATTTATCAAATTAGGGTTGACACCACAATGAGCCGTGCTCAAATTTCCTTACGCGGACGCCGTCCTGATCACAGGAATCATCTGGATTCCCTTTTGCTCCCAGGTCTGTCATTGATTTGGACAAGGTTCAGGAAGCTATGGGAAAATCAGATCGCTACCGAGGACGCAAGAGATGTGAAACTATTCTTTGACTTCTGCCATGGCTCAATTCCTCCAAGGACCGCTCTTTGCACACAAGTAAAAATGTGCTCCAAGAGGGTTCCCCTACCAAAGGAACACGGGGGAATGTGATATCATCACTACATGGCCACTGGCCCCTGGATCGCAAAACGCAGCCCGAGTCAGCGAGCAATCCTTTTTGGCTTTGGCCTGTCGCGAAGTCTTTGTGGGCGGAATCCCGCTTCATAAGTGGCGAAGGCCACCAGCGAAAATTGGATCAAACCTCTTCACATGGGTACGGGTCGAAATTAAGCCACCAGGGGACCGCAGATTCTAGTGCTTGTGGCCATTTAGCAGGGTTCCATTTTGGGTACCCATTGACCCACTGCCACATCATGACTGAAAGTCTCCAATCACTGGCACTGGAAATGATGCAACTTTAAAATTGCAAGAGTTCCCCTCTAGAACCGTGACATCTCCTGAAATCCGTTCAGTGACCGTCTAGTGACCGAGCAAGACCAATACCCCTCGGTGCGCTGATCCTCTCAGCTGATCTTCTTGCAGCCTCTGCGCTCGAACTCCGCCTTGATCTGCCTCTGGGTTGCTCAGGGTGAGCCGCGGTATGTCTCTATAGGAATGGATTTGTCCAGGTGGTTGGCTTCCTTTTGTTCCCGCCCACACAGCCACAAGCCATGTCAATTCTAAAGGCAAAAGCAAATTGGGCGGTTTGGTCCACCCGGGTGTTGTGGGGGATGGGGATGGGCACTCGTCCCGCCATACCTGCCATACTCCCCAACTTAACAGCTCAAACGAAAGCTTGCCCACGCTGGACCCCTCTGAAAAGCTGCATGTCACGTGTTTCACAAACCAAACCAAGGTTATGGTTTTGACGTGAACACTGCTCGGCAATAGGGCAGTGACAAAACTAGGTGCATTTTTCGGAGAAGCCAACACCTAGTCCCTGGTGAATCACACGGCGAGATTTCAGGCAGCCAAAGAAATAGAAGAAAGCGGGCTGAAGATACGGCACGTATTTCGCGTCTCCCAGTCTGACGACTGGGCGTCAAAGGATCGACAGTGGGTCTTAGCTCAGCGACCATGGGTAAAGAGAAAGGTTCCCTATGTTTCTCCTTCAAACATCACCGCCAAAGGGAAGCTCATCTTATTTTTGCCCAAAAGGTAAAGTGGAAAGACGGGGCCCCTCTGAGGCGCCAGCTGAGCGTCGCAGATGCACGGGAAGAAGTGCACCATGCCAGGCTCTGCGCCTTTGGAGAGGGCCTCGAGAGGTAAAGCTAAGCCGTACAGAAAAACGTTCTGGCATTGCAAATGCTCGTGGTCCAAGGATTGAAGACTGCCCAAACAAGCGAAAGTGTGGACCAGGTGTGGTAATTGTCGCCAGACAGAGGCACGAGAGCAAGCGCGGCTCCGGAAGCATGCCCCAAGTAGCCTAGAAGAAAGCATGGGCCGGACTTTTTAGCTTTAAAGCAAATGATGTTCTTGAACTGGTGGGCTAAGTTTTGCTTTTCTTCACCGACACGCAACAGATCTGCGCAAGTCTAGAAAGCAATTAAATCCCGCAAGGAGCATCCGCTCATCATTCCAGCTGGCACTGACAAGTCAAAAGGGTGCAGAATCGGGATCCCGGCCAGGGTTGGGCCACCCCCTTGCTCAAACATGTTAAAACCACCATTGTCTAACAACCTCCCGTTGGTTTCCTTACGTTTCCTTTCAAGGTTGTTCGCCCCCCTGGCTCTCACGCGAAACCCGCGCAAGCCCCCACTCCCTCCCCGCCTCGTCGGAATTCGCCGCTGCACCAGGGCCTTTCTGAGGGTTGTTTCCAGGCTGATCCCTCCAGAAGGTGGCACATTTCTTGCCAATGGAACCGACCGAGCGAGGCCGCCTTCAATCAAGTGGAGCAAAGCGGGCTAACCATGAATCGAGATCACTGCTACAGTACATCGCCATGAGCGGAGGGCCTGGCTGTTTTGCAGGTACTCTTCCCAAGCCAACGATATTGCAAGTTGCTTGCAGCGTCTTATGCCACGGCCGAAAAGCGAACAATCAATTTTGATTTGAGGCGAGCCACCCACATCCCACTCCTTCTGTGGCGTCTGGGTCTCCTCAACAAGGTGCAATGGACAACTTAACCATCTGTTGCCTGTGGGGGTGCAAACGAGTCAGGAAAATGGAGCTTTGCGATCCACCTTTGCTCCGATTCTCCGATTGTCCTTTGACACTGTGACCCTGTGACCTTGTGACACTGTGACTTGACGGCTTCTCTGGCAATTCCGTGTAGGTGCACCGCTCCTTGAAGTATACCAGCACTGGTGGAAGTCCCTTCTCCACCAAGCCCTGCCAGAAATCAAATGCCAAAAATGTGGCTGAGACGGGTTTCAACCAACAATGCCCATGCGACCATTCCGGCCTTGGGGAAGAATTCCCAGTTCACCTCGAGGAGACATGAATTTTCCACAATCTGTCAACTGCAAGCTCGGCCACTAAGCCCAAACTAGTGCAGCCACTCCGTGGAGCTGAGACAAGTGTTCACTTGGGAGGCAAACCCATAGAACGAATGGGTAAACCCTGAAACAGGAGACGCCTGGCACAAAATTCCCTTGCCGAGCTGCAAAGCTGGAGTACTTCCAGCGGTTCTCACCGCCCACCACAATGTTCTCACCTGAAAGCGCTCGGAGAAACTGCGCAACCCCCGGAAAAATACTATCGAACAATTCGCGCAATGTCTGCAAAAGCGCGCAATACGAGTATTTAGGCCCGGACGCTTGACGCGAGGCGATGACTTTATGCAAGCTTGCGCTCGTGTTGTTTATTGCCACAACCCCCCCTCCCTCGCGGCTTCGGCATGCTTCGGCCTATCACAGCTGTCCTGGTCCGGCCACTGGCGGGAGACTGAGTGTCACGGCTACAGTTGTCAGTTCCTGTCCGAAGGAAATGCCACAACTGTCGACATAGGCTTTTCGCAGCTGCTGCAAAGTCGCGATGCTCCAGCTAGAGCTGAACACGTGTGCCGGGCGTGCCTGCAGTTAGAAGTTGAGGTTTCCGAGGCGGAACTGGATCAGCGCGCTGCGCGTGATACACTTGCACTGAGCCGTCGCGATTGAGGAGATGGGCCGGAAAAGGGTACTTCACGCGTCGCGTTCGCGCAAACAAACTCGCTGCCAGGAAACCGATTTCTACACCCCTCATACGTTTTCGTGTTCTGCTGCGCTGTTTGTCCCGACAGGTTTGGGGTTGCTGGATTGTAAGTGACATCCGATTCTCACCCTCCTTGTTCCGCGTGACACTACACGTGCACTGCAAAGCTGCAACTTCTGAGCTG